GTTTATTCAATGAATCATTTTTTCCCCTACTGCGATATAGGTCTAGCCTAGGCCTAGTTGAGAACCCCTGTCACAGATGGACTGTTGAACTCACCATCACTGTAAACATTTGGTAAGATTTTTGTACGTGTGAATCGGGTATTTGTCTAAGTATGTTACAAAAAAGACGGGAGTAGAGTTGTTTTGGCCATGAGAAAAAAAAATCCTGTTACTGCAACTGGAATAGACCGATTCAATGATGAGTGTCATGTAACCTAACTTGGGTGTTGGATGCAAACAATGGACTGGCACAGCGGTGTTTACAATGGAGATTGCTACTGCGGTTGTCCCTTGTTATTGCTGTAAAGACCAATATAATTCCCAGTAAATTATATCAAATTGATTGGAAATTAAACATATGAGAATTTTGCCTTGATGTTTTGCTAATACTGAAAAGGATACTGGCCGCAAACATTGAGATTTTTCAACAAATGGTAGGCCTAGGCCCCTGCATATGTACGGCCTGTTTATGTACTATTATGCACCAGAGTCTTCGACCCGCAAACTACGCTACGATGTTAAGGCTAGCTATGGTTTACGAAGGATCACGTAAATTTCAAAGTATATAATGTTAGGAGAACTAGAATAAATAAACACTATTTTGAACAATCGTGTTGCCTTTCATTGCCATTTATTTTCCACGTTAACAGTGGTTGGTTGTTTTTGCAACCATAACATACCTTTTCCTATACTTTCACACTGATCATGCTCTAATGTTTTCCATGATATACCCTACAGTATTTATGTCACATGACTGTAAACAAACATTACTGAATCTGTCTATTGAACCCAGGATGCTGGGTTGGAAAGCAAGGATCTTTACCACTAAGCTATTGAACTTCACTAATAATGAAGTTGACTCTTATTTTATCATTCTTTTTTAAATGTCTGCGGTATTTAATGTTTATTTTGTGTGACAAGCAAAATAATTTTAAAGCCGTCTTTTTTTTTTTTTAACAAAATAAGGTATTAAATGAAAAAAAGGGTTTTTTTCTCTTAAACGAAAGTATTAAAT